AGACGACTAAAGGATAGACACATTCTCACGGTCTCCATAATTCAGATTCTTCTGTGCTAGATGCACATTTGAATGTTGAGAGTATTCCTCTGTCCATCTGTCTCATTAAAAATCCCTCATTTGGAATTCTGGAGTGCGTGTGAGCGTGCGTGAGGGTCAAAGGTTAATGCAAGCTGTCAAAAGGTCTGTAATTATAAGGAAGAAACATGGTCGCTTTTGTCCCTCGAGACAAAAAGAGCCCATTCCTGAAGAGAACCACAATTTCAGACCGCAAACAACCCATGTCTGAGCTCTTGCATATAAAAGTTCTTCAATAAAAGATTTGTAGATGATTCTTGAGGTTTTTCATTAACAGCACAGAGCAGAGTTGAAGCGGGGATCTTGCAGTATTAGTCTTGAGACCTTTCGAGACTGGATGAACGTGGCCTTGGTCTGAGTCTCATTACGTGGTGTCTTGCTCGTGGACTGGGTCTCAGGTTATGGCAGTCTATTTCCACTGTACTAAAGGTGATAATTATCTCAACTACTAGTCGACCGTGTTATTTCAGGGCAAAGATGATTCTACGTCTCTTCATGTCTTCATTGTGTATAGAGCATGTGCACTAACCACTAGGCCACAGCTCTGACATTTGTATAATACTCTTAAAGTCAACATGAATTGGTCATTTTACTCCCATAATGTGACACATTCGAAAACTAAAGCAAATATTCAACAAGAAAAAGAGTGGGACTTAATTTTATCCATCTAAAATTGATTGCATATTGAAACATAGAGATTATATCAGATAGTGAATTTGCTAATACAGTGCCGAATAATGATGCTTGATGCTTTTATAATGCTTTTTACACAATATTTCTGCAAAACAAAGCATCACAGGTTCATTTATAGGACCGTTGAAGATGGTCTCAGTGTTTAGGATCTGAATGTGAAGCAAAAATGTAGTAGATCCAGACTGACATGTGTTTAGCTTAAAACAGAGCACTCCATTTTACAAGTAAACGCAAACGCTGGTCATAAATATACATCTAAAGACTGGCCTGTCTTTGGATGTATTTTTATGACCAGCATTTGCCTTGTCTGTTTAGTATGCCATGCATGTACACACCTAGATTTACTGCTCCATAAGACAAGGGTTAATGATACAATGATGACCTTCTTGTGCAAAAGAATGCAATTAAATTGACCAAAGGTGACAGTAGACATTTCTATTTCAAATAAATGCTGTTCGTTTGACATTCCATTCATCAAAAAATCATGAAGAAAATGTATTACCATTTCCAAAATATTATGCAGCACAACTGTTTTTAACATTGCTAATGATAAGAAATTATTCTTAAGCAGAAAATCAGCATATTAGAATGATTTCTGAAGGATCGTGTGACATTGAAGACTGGAGTAATGATGCTGAAAATTCAGCTTTGCGTCCCAGAAATAAATAAAACTGTAAAATATATTAAAATATAAAATAGCTTTACTGTATTTTTGTTCACATAAATGCAGTCTTGGGGATCATAAATGACTAAAATAATTTTGATGTCATGTTGACTTTTACAAGTCTTCAACATATTCTTAATTGACAGTTCCGAGTTTTCTCCAAATTATAATTAAACTGTCAATATCGGACTGTCACAGGGTCTCACCAAGATGCATTCGTAATCATTTTGGATGCATGCTGCACACAAGCTAAGCGTCTTTCATTCAGTCGTGATCCTATCAAATCACCAGAAAATCCAAATCCGTTGTGACTTAAATATGAAGCAGGTGTACAACTTAATTTACCTGTCTTGACATTAACTATGTTTCCTCTTTTTTATGATTCAACTAAACAGCTGTTCTAATGAGATATATGTAGCACCAACACTGTAAGAATTGAAAACACAGCATTTCACAATCAGCTTAAGCAAATATGTAAATCCGGCCATGAAACAATTACGGTTAGAATGTCCTGCAACTGGTGATGAAGCAAAGCATTATGAGGCACTAAGGCTTTATACAGAAAGTACGCCTCGACAATAGCAGTGAAAAAATGTGGGTTTGACAGACAAGCTCATTAGCTGTTTCAAAAAAATAAATTGTAAAACCTCTATAAATGACTAATATTCTGGATAAATTGTGAAAAGTTGTTTTGGAGAGTCTTTAACCACGTTCAGACAGCAAAAGCGCATTTCCATCAACTATTTCCACACTAACCATACAACATTTCTGTGGCGACCAAAGTACGTATACCAGATACTGGCCCTGTTTTCGTGATGCTTGTGATTCTTTCTGCGCACTTTCACTAACCAAAGCATCACAAGTTTATTTATAAGATAGAGGAGACCAAGTAACTAAATCAAAAAGATGGTCTCAGTGCATAGGATCATAAAGTGAAGCAAAAATTTAGTAGATCCGGATTGACAACTGATTAGCTTAAAGCAGTGAACTCCGTTTCACAACTACATGCTGGTCATAAATCTACATTCAAACACAGGCTGAAACTATGAGATATGCCTGGCCTTTTTGGTATGTCATGCATGTGGGTCAAAGACAAGACATCCTGCTTTGGTGTCCGCATCAAATCGTATTTAGAAAAGTGATCTTGTATACATAAAAAGCATATTAAATGCAAGTAACATGTCTATTTTTCAAATAATGTAATGTCAAAATATGGGTGAAATAATGCTACATCATCATTCAGCATAACAAATATATTTATGTAAAAATTAAACGAGATACTTATTCTGATCTGCACTTATTAAAATGTATAAAAGAATAAGAGATCATAATAAATGTTATTATATTTTAAATGATTACAAACGTCTAGCTGACAAATAGGTAAGACATGGTAGTTATCAAGGGTAGTGAGAAAGATTTGTAAAGATTTAAAATTACAATTAATTAGTATTTGGATGCTGAACTGCGATCTAAAAAATCTGTTTCTGAAAATGCCTGACAAGATTTTCTGTTATATGAACTACACTGAATGACATTTTGATGGGTGTCTTCTGTAACTCATGGTAAAAATGTCCGATAGTCATTGTTTTTTGCTCAGAAATAATACAATTAAGCAGGACACATAAAGCTGTATTAACATTTTATCGTTTTGATGTTTGAAAACCCTTTTTCTGTCTTTGACCCATGTACCTTATACTGCTCCATAGACATGGGTTAATTATACAACATGATGAGCTCCTTGTCATGGTCTGTTCACAAACTGTCCTGTGTATAAATCAGCAAAGTCTCAAATGAACAATACAAGTCCCAAATCAGGTCTATTTGAGGCATCGGAATAGCTTTGTCCTGATTGGATTTCCCTATTTGCTGGCATTCTCAGCGTCCAGGCCCTTATTAAAGGGACATGGAAAGGGTCTGGATCACATCAGAGCAGGGGGACTGGTAATCACCCATCTAATGCCATTTAATCTGGTTTACTGATCCAAACTAGGAAGTAATGTCTCTCTGTTCTTCTATTTTATCTTTCTCTCAAGACAACACAAGGCACAAGTGGCCTAACCATCATGAAACCTGAAGTTACTGATTTGAGAAGCTGTAAAACTCATAGATTGCTGTTAATGCTCTTGAACTACAGTAAGTACATGATATTTAAACAGTATTAGTGTATTTTGTTTTACTTATTAATGTTATATCATTGACATACTATTATTTTCTTAATATTTTGAATTTGTATTTTTTTATTTCCCATTTTCATTTTAGTTGATTTTAGTCATTTTGTTGTGTTTTTCATTTTTCATTTTTTTATCTTACAGGAAGTGTATAAGTGTGTAAGTGTGTAAGAGTGTAGTTTTTTTTTTTTTTTTCATGTCAGCTTCTATGACTGAAACTAAACCTTCTTGGCCAGGTTTAGTTATTCAAAATTAAAACTAAAGATGTTTAAGATTATTTTTTCTCAAACCCCTAAGACTAAATTTGGATTTACTTGGTTAACCATTTCAAAAAATATCAACAGAATAAAACAAGATTCCTCAACATTTTTAAATATTCCTATATTTATTTAAGTTTTAGTTAATGTAGTACTTCAAGTTAAACTAAATCAAAATGAGAAAGTATGTCTTAGCAACTAGCTGAAATAAAATATATTTTTATGTTTTTATTATATATTTCTTATTATATATTTTTTCAGGCCACATTTATTTCAATTAACTTTCTGTTTTGAAGATTTCGTTTTAATTTTAGTTTATGTTTTTGTGATAATTCTTGGGAATATAGTACTTTTTATAAAACAATACACAGTACAATATTAATAGTTTTATATATTAATTTAATTGCTAACAGGTAAAACTGAGTTCATCTGCACGCATTTTTCATTCAATAACGCAGAAATGCATATACAGTCAGGTCCATATACAGTATATATATATATATATAATAGAATAATTTCCTAAATTTACTGCTCCATAAGACAAGGGTTAATTATACAATATGATGACCTCCTAGCACAAACATGTCAGTGTCTATTCAGCAAGAATGCAATTAAATTGACCAAAGGTGACAGTAAAGACATTTCTATTTCAAATAAATGCTGTTTGTTTGCACTTTACATTCATAAAGAAAATAATTTTTAAAATGTATCACCATTTCCAAAATATTAAGCAGCACAACTGTTTTTAGCATTACTAATAATAAGAGATGTTTCTTGAGCAGAAAATGAGAATATTAGAATGATTTCTAAAGGATCATGTGACAATGAAGACTCAAGTAATGACTACTGAAAATTTAGCTTGCTTTGCTTCACAGGAATAAATAAAACTGTACTATATACTGTAATATAACTGTGTATATATACACATTTTAAAAGGGAAATTTTGCTGCATGCCTAACTTTTGGCCTTTATGTCAAAAGCACATTTATGATGCTTTAAAATGCTCTCTACCTAGGCAGCTCACTTGGTTTTGCTGAGCTACAGACCAAGATGTGGCCCTCACACCGAAAAACAAACCAACATTTAAAATGCACTGCACAATGCATTACGCAGAACGCTGTATAATGTAGTGTGACTCACTTGGGTGTCTGTGCGTCATCTATTCTGTTCCCCAGCTGGAACTCGTGGGATTTGCTGCGGTGCAGAGCCGTGAACCCTGGCAGAAGGTGGATGAGCTTCCGGCTGGCAGGCGGCGGGGTTCCAGGGGCCTTCAGCTTATTCCTGCGCCTGACCTGCGGTGTCCCTGGAGGGGTCATGGTGTTCACCACTAAGGGAGTCCGAGGAGGGGTGTGGGCAAAATGCCTCTGTCTGGGGGAAGGAGGGAGAGAGTGATGTCCCATATCCAGAGGCGAGGGGAAGAGGCCGGAGTGAGGGTCCACGGTCAGCCGGTCCGAATGCGGGTGAGGGGAATAGAAGGGGGGCGCCAGGGCCTGGGGACTCTGGCACAAGTGCTGGCTGTAGCGCGAGTGCAATTTGGGGCTCTGGGAGAGCTGGAGACGGACCCACTGACTGGGGTCTGACGGCCCCACTGGGGTGTTCTCTTTACCCGACTCGGACGTGGGCCACTGAATGGACCAGTCCTGCTTGGATCCTGTGGACACACAGTGTGAGAGATGGAGGTTTGTACCAGCCAGAATAAAGAGGAACAGGTAAGGTTGAGAAAAAACACTGGAGGAGAGGAGAGGAGATAAGATAAGATAAGACAAGGACAAATAAGAAAAGAAGAGATGAGAAGCAAACAAGTGATGAAATAAAAAGACGAAGTGAGAGGAGGTTACATGAGATGAACCAAGACACGAGACACGAAAGATGAGACAAAATTACACAAGAATAGAGGTTGATTTTTATAATATAATGCAAACAAATTTAACTGAATTTAATTGAATGACAAGTAAATAATAAATGAGCAACATTTCTTTTAGTTTTTACTAAATGAATAATGAATATGAAAATGAATGAATTTGAAATAATTTAATAAACTTAATAAATTTGGTTTTAAAATGAATATTTTATCATATTTACTAAATGTATTTAATCATTTGAAAATAAACTGATAGTTAAACAAATAAACTGAACTTGATCAAAATAAATCTGCAAAATGAATATTTATTTTAAATATTATGTACTAAAATTATTTCAAATAATTCATTTGAAAATGAAGCAATTTGAATAAAGGAATTTAACTTGCATTAGTCAAATACATTTGTAAAATGAATATTTTGTCATATTTTCTCAAATAATTTGACAATTTGAAATCAATCAATTCGAGCAAATAAACTGAACTTGATTAAAACAAAACTAACCTATAAAATGAATATTAATTTTGCATAATATTTACTAAAATCATTTTAATTAACCTTTGATACCAAGTGCCAGATGAAGGATGTCAACAGTGAAGAGACTCAGACTGCATCTATCATGACAAACAGAAAGAAAGATGAAAGGATATGTGTGATTGAGAGCAAAGTGAGTCTGAAATGTCTCAAAGTAATGAGTACTGAAGATGACTGATACGTAAAAACACCACAATGACAACAAACGCACTGGAGAAAGAGAAACGGACAGTGCCTCACCTCCATTACTGTGTAATTTGTCATCCTCAAGTTGTTCTTGAAAAAAAAAATGCATATTCATTAATACATATTCAAATGAAATTCAATGCATATTCATTAGATTTTTCTACAGTACCTTTCTAAAGACAATATTACTATTTCAAATAAAAAATTAACTGAAATGGGTCCCTTATACAGTTTTGTGGTGTTGTAGAAAAAAAAACATTTATATCATTTATTAGATTATATTTCATATATATTTGTCTCTGAACCATCATTAATGTTAACTAGAGACCATGATTACGTCAAACACAAATAGAGCTTATATTTAACCCCTCGAAATTCCCTTCATAATGGAATCGCCAAAACCATTAATGTATAAGAGAGGGAAATTAAAATATGAGACAAACACAAAGCTCTTAGTGAACTTTATCTATTAGTGATCCACCATTTGTTGCAGAAGATGACCATCATGCATCATGCCCTGTTTTTCACAGTCTCTCTAGCTCTCTCTGTTTGTTTTCCTCTTTCAAAAATGATTATGTTGACATAAATGCAGAATAAATTGGTTCTGTCTTTTCTTCAGTGCATTGCCTTTAAACTCTGCATTACAGCGAATGAACAGAAATCCAGCAGACAGACATTAAACATGTCTAAACTTTAGAATCTATGGGATTCTTTTCAGTTTAACCCTTTAGTAGATCATTTTCTGAATGTATTTTCTAAAGATTGAATTCTGTAGAAAATGTCTTCAGCTCTGGGAGAGCAGGTAGGCTGCTGTGATTTGATTGATGGCACCTTTATATAGAATAGCTGAAAGACAGGAAGATGGATGGAAACCCACACAGTGAAATGTGCTACAGAAAATCAATTACTTTTCAAACTCGTCTTATAGGTTAATTGTAAAAGTGGTTCAATTTTTCATTCAAGTGAATTGTTTTAATTCTACATCTTATTCAATTATATACTTCCAAAATGCATGTTAACTTTTAAACTTTTCAGCAATTCCATCATAGAATCACTCTCGAAAAAAGGTACAAAGGCTATCACTGAGGTGGTACCTTTTCAAAAAGTTACTAATATGGTACATACAGTATGTACACTTTAGTTACTAAGATGTACCTTTAAGGTTAGAATATAAACCCTTTTTTCCCAAAATGTGCATACATGATAGGTTATCAGCGCGTTTCATTATGCTACTGCAGACCAGAGCGAGAATGGAAGGTGTTATTATTATAATATTACGCGATTTGTACTGTAATGTTTTCTCACTGGTGAATGAGACATGAGGTAATCTGACAGCATTGCATTCAACACTGCCGTCTCTCATCGTGTCGCTGGTTAGCCTCTGGTCTGCTTGTGCACGTTCATGTTTTTTGGAGGAGGCGTGGATTTGGAGAGTGATTTGCAGGAAGGGTGGGGTCTTATGCTTTTAAAGCTAGCTTGCTATTGCTAGACTCTCAAAATAAAAATAAAAAACAATAAAAACACATGAAACATTATCGCAATATTAAAATGTAAATTTTTTCCTTAAGGTGCAGCCATATTAGCGAAAATCTGTTTAAAATTCCACAAAGAGGTCATTTTCAAACAAAGCAGGTCAGCTCAGCGAAAATCATGAAAAACTTGAATCCACTGTGAAACCTGCATGGGGAAATTGAGTGAATTCCTATTGAAATGACTAGATTTTGCCCTAAAAAAAAATCACTGAACAATGGACAAATATGACTGCACCTTTAGGCTTCAACTTCATTTAGTTAAAAATGTGATTATAACTAAATACATTTAAAGCATAAGTCTATCCTTGCAGAATGAGTGTTACTTAAAGAGTGGGATTTTTTTTGCTATTTTAGCACATTTTATTAATAAAGAAGATCAGGAAATATTACAAGCTGGACTTGAATGCATGATGCTCAGGCATCACAGCTCATCATGTCAGGGAAAACGTATAATATTTAAGCCACACTGCAAAACTAAAAATTACAGCTTCACTAAGTCATAGTTTACAAATAAAACTTTCTGAAAAAAGAAAAAAATTGTCCATTTCCGTCGAAGATCGTTAATCAGTAATTGCTTGGAACCCACCAACTCCACAGATGAACAAACACCATTACAGGACTCTCCCTCTTGTGGTTTCTCCCTGGACTGTAGCTCAGTGGTCACAGTTCACTACGCAGAAATGATTCCAAGGGCCCTTAACAACCTTAGCCCCGTACAAGACATGCTCGCTCTAGGGGACACACTCCCACTCTTTGAGCATGATGGGAGATAAGTGTTTGCCACTCCTAAGGAGGGGTCCAGTGGGCACAGCTGAAGGACACTTCTCTCCGTCCTCTCATGGCCTGGAAGACGTTCAAATGAGCATTTTTAATTACAGAGGAGAGGTGACAAACAAGCTACTTGAAGTTTCAAAGTTTCAGGCATGGCCCGCGCTTGACCCACCGGGAGATGTGTGAAGTTTGCAATGTCAAGTTGCTTACACGATTGAGAAACCAATAACTAACTACTTGGCTAGTTGATAAGTTTATTAATACTCTGCAGAGCCCCAGAGGACATTTCACATTAACTAAATACTTCTCCTTCTTTCAGTGTGATTTTTAGGGCAACAAACAACAACCCTAAGCAATTATCCTGTATGAATATAAATGATACAAAAATTGTTTTAATTTTGGTGGATACGGATATGCCACTGGTATATTGTGTGTCCCTATCTAGTAACACCCTGAAATGAGTGCAAAGATAAAAAGCCGTTTGTTCTCCAAAAAAGCTGTTATATGTATTTTTCTAAACATCCTTGTCTCACCACCCCATGGTGCTTTTGTCTATCGTCAATTTTCAACCTCAGGATTCACCTCTGTCTTGCTACATAAAGGTGCGAATGAATCAATTTGTTGTGCAGTAGATTGTGGCTACAGCTGTCAATAATTCCTCAGTGTATGTTCTCCTGAAATGATGAAAATCTTATTAATTCAAGAAACAAATGCCATATATTTCATTCCTCATAACTAATCTCAACTGAAGAGATGCGTAGCCTCGTAGTAAGTGTTACATACAGTGGTGGCCAAAATTGTTAGAACACTTGGCATATTTAAGAGGTTTCAGTTGTTTTTGTTGAATTGTCCATTACAATAGCCATAAAACAAACTATTGCCGTAAACTACCTGCGATGGAAGGAATCTGCTGGAACATTAAAAATGATGGCCTGGCCACCTCAAAGTCCGGACCTCAACCCCATCAAGCAAAATTGGGGCGAGTTGGAAAATAAACTGGACAGATCTATTGTACATTCAAAGGAAAGTCTTTGGCTTCAGTTGCAGAAGGCATGGGATAACATTAGTGTTGACGTTCTCAGGAAATATATTGACACTATGCCAGAGAGATGTGCTGCTGTAATTGCTGCAAAAGGTGGACATACCAAATATTAAAGTTAAAAGTGGATTAAAACAGTACGACTCACGTCATCTGCTATTTGTTGTGCTCAGAGCAACTATCTGCATGTTTCACGAACATTATGAAATGAAATCATGTTTTGGAGGCAGAAAACGGTCAATATTTTTAGATCTGTCAGGTGTTCTAACAATTTTGGCCACTACTGTACATTCTTCCGGTTTTAGTTTCATTGCATTTATGAGTTGCAAATCAACTTTTCTCATGTGTAAAACCTGATGCCACAATGCAAATTCTGGGAGTTTGCCAAGACATTGCTATGAGTCTGCAAAAGTGTTTTGACTGGTAATTCACATAAAAATGAAAATTTGCTGAAAATTCACTCACCCTCAGCCCATCGAAAATGCAGATGAGTTTGTTAAAGAACAGATTTGGGTAAATTTAGCTTAACATCATTTGTTTACCAATGGATCCTCAGCAGTGAAGGGGTGCTGTCAGAATGAGAGCCCAAAGAGCTGATAAAAACATCACAATATTCCACAAGTTATGTAAATAACTTGTTTGTAATAAATCCATCAAGTCGTTTTTTTAACTTCAAACCATTGCTTCTGGTTAAAAGTCCTCTATTCATAATATTGGTTTCTGCAGTGAAAAATCATCTGAATCAGGAGAGAAATATGCACTTATCAAGCACTGTTTAGAGTCTAAAACTGTTGTAAACAAATATGTTGGTGGATTTTGATGTGAGAGAACAACAGGGGATGGTTGTTCTTATGCTGTTATTATGGATTATAGACCCGTATTTTGGCCAGAAGTGACGGTTTAAAGTTGAAACGACTTAATGATTAATTTGTTTATTACAAACATGCAGCTTTTTGCTTCACAAAATGTTAATTGAAGGACTGGAGTGGTGTGGATTAGGCTACGTGGGGATTATTCTGATGTTTTTATCAGCTGTTTGGTCTCTCATTCTGACGGCACCCATTCACTGCAGAGGATCCATTGGTGATGTGATGCTAAATTTCTCCAAATCTGTTCTGATGCAGAAATAAACTCATCTACATCTTGGATGGGCTGATGGTGAATTTTTGTCTGAAATATTCCTTTGCTATGAAGTGGCTAGGGCATTCTGAATGGTGTTTTATGATGAAATGCAAACCTATGGGATTTTTTTTTTTACTTTTCATCTTGCACCAAGGTAAAATAATTGCCTAGAGAGCTTAAAAAATAAAAAATAAAACGTCCAATTTGAGATTTGATTCAGGCCCGTTACACGAACAGTGTGGGATGAGTTACATGATGGGTCAGAGGTTTGTTCAAATCCCCAATCCTAACTATGAGTCTTATAACACCACTAATGACATAACATCCAAACTCCAGAACACAAAGAAAGAAGGAGAGTCGACTGATAATGATTTAGCAAATCCTAATGAGAACATGTCAACATTTCTGAAACAATGCATTTGCAGTCACAACCATTGCCTAGCAACAGTGCCTTATACAGCTGCTAGAAAGGGGCACATGGATACTTTGATTAGCATCTCGATTAGCAATGCCATTATCACAAGTCAAAGATACTGTCATTAATATCACAAACCAACTCAAAAAGGTGTCAAGACGACCTGTCACCCACGCAGTTTGCCTATACATCACGGCGCTAATCATTTCCC